GCGGATCTCAGCAAGGAACTCATCTCGATCGTGCAGCAAAGTATCCACCTTGTCTGTCTTGGCCGTAGTTGTGTAGGGCAGCAGAGGTGGGGGGCGGACGGCCATAGACCACCTCAAACGGAGTGGTGCGCAGGGCAGAGTGGAAGGATGTGTTGTAGCAATACTCCGCTCAGGGCAACCAATCCACCCAAGCACGAGGCCAATCACCAGTGACGCAGCGTAGAAACATGGTGATCACCTTGTTGACCACCTCGGATTGGCCATCCGTCTGCGGGTGGAAAGTTGTGCTCATGCGCAGTGTCACACCGGCCATCTTGAAGAGATCACGCCACACATGACCTGTGAACACTGGATCGCGGTCGCTGATGATGGAGGAGGGGAACCATGCAGGCGCACAATGCCCTCGAAGAACGCCCGAGCCACTGAAGTAGCAGTGTAGGGGTGGCCAAGGGCGATGAAGTGCGCTACTTGGAGAAGCGATTGACCACCGTAAGAATGACGGACTTGCCATTAACCTTAGGCAAGTCTTCGATGAAGTCCATTGAAATGTCGGCCTGGACCTGCGACGGAACCTCGAGGGGCTGTAGCAAACCCGCTGGCTGCTGGGCTTGGGTCTTGTTCCATTGATACGTGCTGCAGGTGCGCACAAAAACCTGGACAAGGTACGGTCCCCGGGATGAAGAAATCACCGCGAAGCCGCTGCAGCGTCTGTACACCTTCATGGCCGACGGTGTGAGCCAAGACGAGGGCCTGATGGCGCAAGTCGCCATGCGTCTTCTGTACACCTTCATGGCCGACTGGTGTGGTGCTGCATGCATGCTCCATTTTTTCCACAAGAAAGGCATCTGACGGATTGTGTTGCAGTGAAGCTCTGTTCCATTACATTTATAACAAGAAAAAAAGGTTGTTCTGTTGCAGAGGTTGGAGCATTTTTTGTAGCTCACCATTTGTGGCTGTTATCAATGAAAGGTAAGCACACAAAGACAGAAGCAGCCGTAGTTTTCTAAGCGTGGATCCACTGAATGCTGCTGCTTCTCAAGGCTCCTTCCCCATTCTTTGCTTCATCCTAGCTAAAGGACTAATTTCATGTCCTATCAGTGAAATGATTCAGTCCTTTGACCTTCCTGGTTCTTATATCTTTAGGCCATGGACAATGGAAATTTTAGGATTCTTAATACAATAATACTAGCTATACATGTAAACCAAAAAGATCTATTTGACTGATTCCTTGTTTTCGTGATTGCATTGCCATCAATATGAGTGTTCTTTACTAACTTATCGTAAGTATCTATGTTGAGAAAAAAGTCAGCCTTGATCTATGTTGCAAAAGTAGATCTAGATGTTGTATATACATGTATGTTACAAGCGTATATTTCAAGTGTTTTATGTTCGGTTGCGACTGGCGCCTGCGGGTCAGGACTCGTGCGGTTGTGCGCGAACAGGGAGGGGAGGCCGGTGCAGCGACGTTACCCACGACCACGACTAGACCGTGCGTGGGCCGTGTGAGCTGAGCGTCCGATGTTTGAAGCTGCGCCGCCAGTGACTCCCTTCTATATATTTAGTTCTATGTCGCTTGTTTTTCGTGAACATTATAACTTATCCTAAATCATTACTCCTGTCCTACTAAATAAATGCATCTCCACCTCTAAGCATATGCTTTGTATAATACCCATATCACACTGGTATGTTGTGTGGCTATGTTTGTGCAACATTACTGCGTGGATAACTCTACCTTCTATTGATTTGGATTGAGTGGATTTTGGACTGAGAGTGACAATTAGTTTGTTAGATATATAATATTAGTATTCAGAATCGACCGTGCTTTTTCCAAAATGGTAAACATGACATCTATCCGAAGCATGCGTGTTGAATCCAGAACGATTAAAGTCGTTCACACTCCTAATACTACATATTCCATTGTTTTCTTTATTTATTATATTGATACATATTCCATCATTCCCTTTACATTCATATTTACACATGCAATTGCTACTATGAACCAAAACAACAACAAAAGTTTGAGTGGCTGTGTGTGTGCATGGGCGCACGCAAAATATGGTGTACTTAACCATCGTGGCTTGGAAATTATGCCACTTATGACACGGTTGCTTCTGTTAAGGTGGACTATGTAGGCTTCGATCCTTTCGCCCCCAAGTGTTCTCCGCTTTTATCCGTTTGCATTTGGTTTTCTTTCTTTTATCGAGTATTAAACGTCACAGTATTTGTGGTGCTACTCGTGCAGTGGTTTCAAAGTGTTAAAACTTTGGTTGCATACACTTGACACCTTATACTGTGATTAAAGTAGTTTGTTTGTGACTAGTCAGGGATGAAACCGTACAGTCGGAGGAGGTCTGTTTTCATTTCTTTTCTTTTTTTACTTAAACGAAATTTAGTCAGAAACGATTACGGCATTGATATTACGGCACGTCGATATCAGTAGGCAATTCGATGATGCATAGTTTTTTTTACAGTACCATAAATAGTAATGATAAGCTAAGTCTTTAAACGTACTTCACTTTTTTTTCTTTAAACTAACAAATATGCTTTACTGCTAATACAAGTTCATGCACATGTAAAATGATAGGTTCAAATACTAAGACCATGTGCGGGAATATTGGCAAAAATAGGGTAATATCATCGGGAGTGTCCGACCAAATTGGTAACTGTTGAAACGTTTCAACTGTCTTACCGATTTATATTGAGAGAATTTTTTATTTGATACCAGACAAATGACCCATTCCTTTCTTGGCCCTCAAAAAATTTCCGTTCCTTATTTGACACTGAGTTCAACTTTCGTTCCTTATACGACACTCCGTTGGGTTTGCCATCCGTGAACCGTTAATTGCCATGTGAAAAGACGATTTTGCCCCTGTGGGCCCCACCACCCTTCTCCCTCCTCTCCTCCCCTTCTCCACGGCCCGGCTCGGCGAAGCGCTCACGTGTCCGCGCACGTGCGGCTCACACCACCACCATGGCCTCCGAAGAAGTTGTTGGCGCACCCGCTTCCGTGCGAGATCCGGCGTCCTCCGGCTCGGCTCGTCCCTGCGAGATCCGGCGTCCTCCGGTGCGGAGCTCACCTGTGCAGCATTGATCGCCTCGTCGTCCGGCCGCCGCGAGCCTTGCCGCCACCACCGAACGTGACTCGTCCGTAGTCGTCACTAGCGGATCGATCTCCTCGATCGACGTCTAGAGCCCCACTCTGCAGCCGGCCGGCGCTCGCAGTCACGGCACGCGCGATGCCTCCTCTAGCGCCGCCGCACGGCTAGAATAAGAGCAGCAGCTCCGGCGGCAAGCATCCGCGGCAGGCGATGACGGTGGCTGCGGCTCAGCAGCGGTCGGCGTCATTCCACAGGCGTGGGACCGAGCAGCGGCACCACCACCCATGAGGCGAGGCCCAAGACGCTGCGACGACCCTTTCGCCGCCGGCGTCGGTAGCAGCGAAGCTTCCGTTCGGGTCCCGCCCGGACGGTGGTGACACGGGAGGAGTCCGAGAAGGACGCCGAGCAAGGTTACAGTGAGCGTGGCGGCAAAGCAGAGCATGTGGCCGCTGCCGCGTCATGGCGTCCGCCGAGTGGACCGTGGCCGACCTGGTGGCCGCCGCCGCACCTAGCAGAAGCGCAGCGTGCCATCATCGCCGCCGCCGCGAGAGACAATTTGTCTTGTGCGTGATTGCTGCCACCGCCGTGCCGAGTCGCGCCACGCCGGCCTCGCGCGTGCGTGGTGCCTCCGCCGCCGCGCCAAGATCGCCACTGCACCTAGGCGCTGGACTGGCACGTGCCCATCACCTGCTCGATGAAATGCCATTGAGAAGTGCTGTGGTACATTGAGAAGTGCACCTGGGAGCCGGGCCATGGAGAAGGGGAGGAGAGGAGGGAGAAGGGTGGTGGGGCCCACAGGGGCAAAATCGTCTTTTCACATGTCAGTTAACGGTTCACGGATGGCAAACCCAACGGAGTGTCGTATAAGGAACGAAAGTTGAACTCGGTGTCAAATAGGGAACGGAAACTTTTTGAGGGCCAAGAAAGGAACGGGTCATTTGTCTGGTGTCAAATAAGGAATTCTCTCATTTATATTTGCGGTTTTTTGTTTCTATTTAGTATATTTTCCCAAAACCTTGATTAAATCTTGAAAGCAAGCCCGGAGGGCTAATTTGGAAACTCAAATTCTCTTGGGACCCCTGACTGTTTTTAGGGTGGGAAATCTATGGAAAAATAATTTGAATAACAATTTAGTTCTTTACGGAGGGTTTTTCATCCCTGGGTATGCCTCCCCTGCTTCTAAATTAGCCTTGATAAACAATATGTTCCATTCCTGCATTCATCCAAAACTCTCTGTAGTAATGTATCGTATACAGTGTACCAAATGTTGCGCACAGGGCACATCGGATTGGACATTGGAGTTACCCAACGCAAGCATCTTAATTATTGTGTTGCATGCTCGATCGATAGTGGCTGACGTAGAAGTGCTTGGACATCGTAATAATGCTGATGAATCTGGATTGTTTTTTTGAGAAAGTGGGTTGGACTTTTTATATTAATTATAATTATACAAATGTAATATCACATCTAGCCCCATGCAAGGGTACCCCTGCAGGAAAATCATAAGGTTCTGGTCATGCTCAGTGGGCCTTGGTTATCAGAAATATCATGGCCTGACCCAGACAGACTTTAAAGTTGGTTTGTATTTTATTTGGATTATGGGCCTTTCTTTCTTGCAAGTTTTCATACAGTGCAAAAAATCTTAACATTCAAGCCAATAACTTGGGTTCTTGCACGCGGATTTCTACTGCAGTTTATAGAGGAAATTAGGATTGACAGTTTCAAGGAAAAAAGGAAGAGAAAAAGCGGATTGGCCAAGAATCTCTCCACGCAAAAAACTCTAGAAGTATCATCACTGCCTGATGGGGTGTACCGTACATGGTGCATTAGAAGGTCTATAATATAATGCTACTTCATATATAGTACTAAGATAAGAGAATACAAATTAAGTTCATATCATACCTTGGCCTCAGCACTTGCGCTCATAGTCTGATGGTGCTCCTCTCTTGCCTCGCTGTATCTTTCAATCACAGATTTCATGCTGGTCGATAAAAATAAAATTTTCCGTTAGAACTAGTCACATCAATCACAAATTTGCCGCAATATAACATAGAGATAACAACTAATATAGGACCCAGAAAATAACAGTTGCGAGCCTGCTGTGCGTAGGACATAACAAAATGACACCCTTATGTAGTGGGAGTAATGTAGCTGTCTAAAGTTTATCAATGTAGGCCGAGAGAATAATAAAAAGATAAGGCAGGAATGTGTTTTTTTAGATATGAAATTAAACATCCGGTTTCATCCCCTCGAAAGAGGAATCAGATCAAACTTATTACAAAGTTTATCAACACAGGAATGATATGTTTCTTTCCTACCATTTTAGGCCCTGTTTGGTTCATTGGAAAGATGCAGGAAGAACAAAGGAATCAAATTTCTATAGGATTTTCACTGTAGCAATGTTTGGAATAAGGGAAGAGACCTAAACCGTTCCAAAGGAAAGGTAATGAAACCTATAGTTTTGGGGAAAAGAAAAAAAATGAGCTCTGAACTCATGGGAATATTTCATGCAGCTCTTGCGCACTCACGCACTAATCTACGTACTCCCTACCTGCATGCACAACCATGTGGGCTCGTCCAAGACACTTCAAATTTTTTTAACTGATATATCTCGCTTTGTAAAGGTGTATTTAGCTCCTGTTTAATCTAAACAATTGTGTTTAGCACAAACCAATAGATTTTGATGCTATTAGTGTTTGGTGTGTTCCAAACACTCGTTTCTAGTTTTCCAATCCTCTGTTTTACACCTCTATTCTTTTTATATTCCTCTGTTTTCTCTCATTTTTGTGTTTTACATTCTCCTGTCTCAAACAGGCCCTTAACCTTTTTTAATCATCCAGGAGCCTGCCTTGCAGTTTGAAGTTCTTAGATGATATTAATAATCATGCAATAGAGAGAGAGCAAAAGGCAGTGCACATGATCTTTTACCACTTGGTAAGGCCCTTTTGAAAATCGTGGGTTCCCGATTCATACGAAATTACTGTGCATTTTCCCAGTAATTTTCTGCGCTCGACAGACGGGGCTAATAAGAAATTGAGCCACTTTCCGCTATTTGGAGAGAACGATTATCTCCCATATATATGTGTCAAAAAGGATCTAATGGCTCAACAATCAATATACTCCCTCTGTCCTGTAATACAGTGCATTCTATGAATTTTAGGATAAATTAAGAGAGAATATAAAAGACGCATGTACCCTCATTTTAATTCCTAATCAGACGCTATCATCAACGTAATTGATGATGATTGGTTGATAAATGGAAAGTATTTAATGTAAAATTAGTTTTTGTCCTCTAAAATGTATTATATTTGAGGACAAATTTTAAATGCTGTAATGCACTATAATATTATAGGACGGAAGGAGTGAGTAGTTATTTGAATGCATCCTTTCACTATGCAAATTCTATGGCTGTGATGGAAAGTGCTTCGGTAGCGCTGGATGCTGCTTGTTACAGCTGCTATACTCGGCGGCTACGATACAAATCAAGTAGCCACAACTACGGCACCTGCTGTAAAACACTATATAAAACGATTTTTAGAGCTAGCTTTTAAAGCCATGCCATGGATCCAAAAAATAAGTCATTTTCAGGGCTGGTTTACAACTGTCCCTGAAATGATTTTCAAACTTTTTTAAAAATCATTTAGAAGTTGCAAAAAATAAGATTTACTAATCTGGCCAGTCACCCCTAAAAACAGATATATTTTCCGTGATGGTTTAGTTAACAGAACCGTCCCTGAAAAATATATTTTCAGTGTCAGTTTGTAAGCTATAGTACCCCGACGATAGTTAAAAATTGTTTGCTAAGTAATCCATCCTTAAAGAAATAGGAGGCGCCTGTGTAAAAATCAGTTTTGTACTAGTGTAAGTGTAGCTGGCGTATATATACTGGATAAAGAACATGATAAATTAAAAATGTCTTTCTATGTTTTTAGATGATGAAGTTAATTTCTGGCTTTTAAAGGTCATACATAACCCAAATCTCTTGGTACTGCACGTGCCAGGTCTTAGACTTACCTCACAAAAGGTGGCTACGTTTCTATAGGCAAAAAATGTCAGTTTATTTCTTTCCAAATCACCAACTTTTTAAGTTGAATCATTGTCATTATTGCATTGATATTGGGTCGTCTCCAGAGTGAAAAATAGCCATCTACGAAGCAAAACTTCTGTTGAGTGTTGTACTCCATTTTCTTGAAAAACTTTGAACTGTGTGCAAAAATCATGTAGTGGAAATATGTTCTGAGATAGAAAAGTGTCTACTTGAATGGTTTTCGCTTATCTTATGTAGAATTCGGTTTTGGGTAGTTTGACCCTCAAATTATCGTCTTATGGCTAGGGCTCGCAAATATTATCATGTACGTTCTAACATATGAGCAATCTGAATACCCTGTATATTATAAATTAATGTCATATCAAGTGAAGTAAAAAAAGTAGAAGCTGGTTTAGTTTCTAGCATCCGATTAACATTTGAATTAAGCTACATGAAAATTTGACCAGTAAGTTTGTGTTTGTACTATATAATGTGCTAAAAATAAGAAAAGGGTTATACGCCAATAGTATTTATTACTTGTTAAAATGCCAATTCTTATATCACTAAAAGCATAATTTTTAATGTAAGGCTATAATATAGGTATAAGAGATATATGTTACGGTGCTTGGGAGGAACCACCCCTATAGAAAATTAATCAATTGTTGATCTTAACATTAACTAATTAATTGTGATTAAGGGTAGTCTAGTAAATAATGTAACTTAATCTCCTTTGTGTAGCAGAGAACAGATAGAAAGGGCGTGTCGCTGCACCCATCCGCCTAGTGCTCGATGGAGTGCAGGAGGAAGGCGTACCTCTCTACTTTTAACCATTAGGTTTAGACTAATGAATTCCTATTATTATTTTCAAGCAATGTATAAGTTCTTTAGTATAATAACGTACTTATGAAGTACCGTACCATGTATGGTCAGACTTTTCTTTATATGTTGGTATGCTGAGCTAGCTAGCGCACTAAAACCATTTTCACATTATCAAGTAAGGACTGAAGAATAATCATATTGCACTTGGGGAGACATAGTGAAATTAAAGTAATATCTCGGGTGTAATCGTCCATTCAGTTTTGGTTTATATAGGCACGATATCAACATATATAGAAATTCAAGAAAACAAAGAAATATACATCTACTCATTTTACTCTGTGTAAAACTAATTCACTAGAGTTGAAACTCATCATTCTATGTTAAGAATAAAAATACTGTAAAATCATGAGAAGTTATAAAATAATAAAGGAAAAGGGAAAAGCGAAAAATTCATGTCCAGAACATCATTCAAATACTTCCCGTTTAAAAAGGAAACATTCGTTGTAAGATTGTGGACATGTGACACATGGAACACATCCAATAGCTACATATTATAATTCCCTTCTGTAGTCTGTCATGTTAATTTGATCCCCAAATTAATTAAAAAAATTTGGCTGCAAAATTGCAAATACTCAACGTATGACTGAACTTTATTTGGCCATTTATTTTTCAAAAAGCCATCGACAAGAGCATGCAGGGTGTATATTGATAGAGAAGGTTATTTGGCCAAATATATATATGTGCAACCCCAACTATAATGTTTCGGAAAACCTGAATCCACCGGTCGGTTCAGTTTACCACACAAAGCTTGAAAGTAAAATCTTACAAAGCTATAAGGTACTCCATCCGTTCTAAATTATAAGCCGTTTTGACTTTTTTGGTTCATCCATTTTACTATATATTTGACATATTATTATATCTAGATATATAGCAAAATGGATGTACAAAAAAAAAGTCAAAGTGACTTGTAATTTGAAATGTAGGGAGTAACAAATAAAACAGTGCAATCCATCCATTTGTTTTTGTTTTTACTTTCCAAGAGGTATACTAGTAAATTAACATACTCCCCGTAAAAGTTGGTACTTGGTACGAGGTATCAAAATTCTATGCCACTTGAGTCTCTCTCTCTCTCTCTCCTGCCCGGCCTAATAACCGAAGTAAAAAACACTTCATCGGTGCTTGAGTATATAGGCTGTATGTATCATATATGTAATAATAAGTACTTAGTCGTTAGTAGATCTAACAAATAGTCAGCAATTAATCTAGCAAGGAGGAGCAATAATCAAACCTGGTGCTAGCGAAGTCATAGAGGCGACCGGTGCTGGAGAAGACGACGAGGCCAACCTCGGCATCGCAAAGGATGGCGAGCTCCTTGGCCTTCTTGAACAGCCCGCTCCGGCGCTTCGAGAACGTCACCTGCCGGCTCGTCGCGTTGTCGATCCTCTTGATCTCTATCTTCCCTCTCCCCATCTCCTTCTTCCCAACAGCACAGATCTAGAGAGAGAAAGAGAGAGCTGAGACCTAACTATCTACATAGGAGTACCTTGTTGCAGAAACTTTTGAACGGTGGTACTAGCTACTATGTCTCTTTCTTCTCTCTGATGGGAGAAGCCCTCTCTTTCTCTCCCCCTCTCTCTCTCTTCTCTTCTCCCTCTGATAGTCTGGATGATCCTCCTGCAACTGCCCAATCCTCTTTTGAGATGCCTGTCCTGTGCTTCCCCAAGAAAGTATTCTAGGACAAGCTGGAAAGACGCATATATACAAGTACAAAGCGTTTGGAAGGCCCTTCCTCGTTTTTGCTTTCTCTAGCTGCTAGCTACCTCGTCCTAATTCACTAATTGTTGATTAGTACTGCATCACTGACAATAAACAAATCTGCACGGCTTACCACTTCTGTCGTGTCAGTGCCTGACACGTGCGCGTTCGTGTCGATGCTCCATCACGCTGCAGATTTCTTTAATCCAGCTGTCCTTCTCAGTACTCCGTCAGTTAAATTCAACAGCTTCTTTTTTTGCCCCCATCAGATTGTTCTTTCTAGGTACTCCCTCCGTCTAAAAAATAGTTGCTATGGGAATCATGTTGATCAAACTTTCTTAACTTTGACTAAGTTTGTAGAAAATACGTGCAACATTTATATCTCTAAATAAGTTTATTATGAAAGTATATTCAATGATCTACATAATGATATTAATTATGTACCATAAATATTAATATTTTATTAAATATATTTGGTCATAGTTAAAAGTTACTGACTTTTTAGAAGCGAGAATGACTCTTTTTGGATAAAGGGAGTAGCGATTATTTAAAGGCGCACTTGCACCCTAGAGCAAGTGTTAATAATTAAAGTGACATAAGTGGACTATATGAGTCGCCACATAAGCTGCTCCTTGGTTTTAGTTCTAGCAGTTTATATTATATACACATATGCAATTTGATCGATCATTACTACTTTTCATTTACTCCCTCCTCTCACCCTCACAAAAACAATGCAATTATATGTTTGGAACAAGTCAATTTTTCTTAGGTTCGACCAAGTTTATATAGAGAATAATGTCGATATTTATGTCTTCAAATATATTTATTATAAAAATATATTTTATAATTAATCTAATGATACAGAATAATATCGCTATATAGATGTTAATATTTTTTCATCAATTTAGTTGAACTTGAAATTGTTTAACTCATCGGAAAATGATAATTGCATACTTATTCATTATTTGGGACTGAGGGAGTGTTTTATACAGAACACATGAAACTTTGTACCGAGTATTGCTGCAAATGACATATATAACTAAACTTACACACTAATTAAACATTTCGTTAGCATATATAGTTCATCTCCATTCTCACCCTTTATTATTATTAGTTTGTACTGATGAAAGGGTCATCTAGCTCTATGAATTTAATCTTTTGTCTAACAAAAAACTTGTGCCAGATAATATAAATTGCAAGAGCTATGAACGACTTACAATTTGAAATGGAGGGAATACTTCTCATCTAGCAAACGTGTTGGTCCCAGATGTGTGCTAACTTGAGTACTGCTTTGTCTCATCTTGTGTCCAGTACAGTTCAGCAAATATGTGTAATGTCTACAGGTTCCATATTTTTGCCTTGTATTTTATGTTTGTTTTTCTTCCGCTATTTTCTCAAAGAGCCCTCCAAAATTAAGTAACACAGTCACCATTTTATTTTCTATAATTAACTGGTGACATTTTAACTCCGCCTATGTTGTCTCAACATAGCAGGTCCCAAACCCTGATAAAGGAGGAGGGTTGTGATAGGCGTGGCGAGCCAATATTAAATCTAGCCATTCTAATAGAGATGAAACCCGAAAGAAACTGTTGGGGCGTAACCCTCTTAGCGACGCGCCATATTGGAACCCGGGTATAGTGTTAAATGGGTAAGGGCCGGGTCAGCACCCCCTTGGTGACGTGCCGTGTCGCGATCTGCGCATGGTGTCAAGTGAGCAAGGATCGGGTCATCGCTTTCTTAGTGGCGCGCTACATCGGTGTCCGGGTGTAGTGAAAAATGAGCAAGGGTCTTCACATCTGAGTCGATGGGTGCGAAGGGTAAGGAAGCTAGTCGAACCAACTAGGATCCGTTTAGATAGTTGGAATGTAGGGTCACTTACAGGTAAGTTAAGAGAATTAGTTGATACCGCGACTAGGAGGCGTGTAAATATATTATGCGTTCAAGAGACTAAATGGAAGGGTCAGAAGGCGAAGGAGGTGGACAATACAGGTTTTAAGCTTTGGTACATAGGGACAGTCGTGAATAGAAATGGAGTAGGAGTTTTGATTGATAAGAGCCTCAAGAATGATGTGGTGGGAGTGAGAAGGCAAGGAGATAGGATTATCTTAGTCAAGCTTGTCATTGGTGATATGGTCTTGAACATAATTAGTGCGTATGCCCCCCAAGTAGGCCTCAACGAGAGTGCTAAGAGACAGTTCTGGGAAAACTTAGATGGCCTAATTAGAGCTGTACCTAGTAGTGAGAAGCTTTTTATAGGAGGAGATCTTAATGGGCATGTAGGTACTCTAAGCGCAGGTTTCGAGGCAGTTCATAGAGGTTTTGGGTATGATAGTAGGAATCAGGAGGGGAGGAAGTTCTGGACTTCGCGGTAGCTTTTGACCTGATGATAGCCAACACTTTCTTTAGAAAGAGAGAATCTCATCTAGTGACCTTCAGTAGCGGACAACACTCTAGATAGATTGACTTTATCCTCGCAAGAAGAAAGGACAAACGAGCATGCTTGGGTTGCAAGGTGATACCAGGGGAGTGTGTTGTTTCTCAACATAAGCTTTTGGTGGCAGACTTTTGTTTTCAGGTACGTGCCCATAGGGATAAACAAGCTAAGATTGAAAGAACAAAGTGGTGGAAATTGAAAGGGAGACGTCAGAGGTATTTATGGAAAAGGGTAATCAAAGAGGGCTCTTGGAAGCAAGAAGAGGACATAAACAACATGTGGGAGAAGATGGCAACCAACATTCGGAAGGTGGCCTCAGAGGTGTGTGGAGTAACCAAAGGAAGTGGAGGCGAGGCTAAAGATACTTGGTGGTGGAACGAGGAAGTCCAAAGGGCTATTAAGGAGAAGAAAGAATGCTATAGACGCTTGTATCATGACAGGAGTGTGGACAACATAGAGAAGTACAAGGTGGCAAAGAAGACTGCAAAGCGAGCTGTAAGTGTGGCAAATGGTAGAGCGTACGAGGATCTTTACCAACATTTGAGTACGAAGCAAGGAGAGAAGGACATTTATAGGATGGCTAGGGTTCATGAGAGAAAGATAAGGGACTTCAACCAAGTTAAGTGCATTAAGGATGAAAAGGAGCATCTCTTGGTGAAGGAGGATAAGATCCGACATTGATGGCAAGAGTATTTTGACAAATTGTTCAATGGTGAGAATACAGACACAACCTTTCAGTCGGATGACTCTTTTGATGTCACCAATAGGTGCTTTGTGCGGAGAATCCAAGAATCTGAGGTCAGAGAGGCGTTGAAAAGGATGAAAGGAGGCAAGGCGATGGGACCGGATGGTATCCCAATCGAGGTGTGGAGATGCCTCGGGGACATAGCTATAGTATGGTTAACCAAGCTGTTCAACCATATTTTTCGATCGAACAAGATGCCTGACGAGTGGATGAGAAGTATATTGGTACCGATCTACAAGAATAAAGGGGATATTCAAAGTTGTACTAATTACCGGGGAATTAAGTTGATGAGCCATACTATGAAGCTATGGGAGAGAGTTATCGAGCATCGCTTGAGAGCAATAACATGGGTCTCTATGAACCAATTTGGTTTCATGCCCGGAAGGTCAACCATGGAAGCCATTTTCTTAATAAGACAAGTTATGGAGCGGTATAGGGAGAAGAAGAAGGACCTAAACATGGTTTTTATTGACTTGGAGAAGGCTTATGATAAAATACCAAGGAATGTTATGTGGTGGGCTTTGGACAAACATAAAGTCTCAACAAAGTACGTCGGGGTCATTAAGGACATGTACAACAATGTTGTGACTAGTGTTCGAACAAGTGATGGAGACACAGATGACTTCCCTATTAGGATAGGACTACATCAAGGGTTAGCTTTGAGCCCTTATCTGTTTGCCTTAGTGATAGATGAGATCACAAGGGACATACAAGGGGACATCCCTTGGTGTATGCTTTTTGCAGACGATGTAGTGCTAGTTGATGAAAGCCGGACAGGAGTGAATCAGAAACTGAAGTTATGGCGGGAGACTTTGGAGTCCAAATGTTTTAGACTCAGTAGAACTAAAACTGAGTATATGAGATGTGACTTCAGCATTACTACTCGGGAGGAGGAAGATATTAGTTTGGAAGGTCAAATAGTGCCTAGGAAGGATATCTTTCGATATTTAGGATCAATGCTACAGAGAGACGGGGATATTGATGAAGATGTTAGCCATAGAATCAAAGCAGGGTGGATGAAGTGGCACTAAGCATCTGGTGTCCTATATGACAAAAGGATACCACAGAAGCTAAAAGGCAAGTTTTATAGGATGGCGATTAGACCTGCTATGTTGTATGGTGTAGAATATTGGCCTACGAAAAGATGACATGTTCAACAGATAAGTGTCGCAGAAATACATATGTTGTGTTGGATTTACGGTCATACAAGAAGGGATCGAGTTCAGAATGATGATATACATGATAGATTAGGGGTAGCACCAATTGAAGAAAAGCTTGTCCAACACCGGTTGAGATAGTTTGGACATGTCCAACGGAGACCTCTAGAGGCACCGATGCATAGTGGAATCCTAAGCCAGGATAGTAACGTGAAGAGAGGCAGAGGAAGACCGAAGTTAACTTGGGTAGAGGCAATAAAAGGAGACTTGAAAGGATGGAATATATCCAAAGACTTAGCCTTAGATAGGAGTGCTTGGAAAATAGCTATTCACGTGCCTGAACCTTGATTGCTTCTGCTGGGTTTCAACTCTACCCTAC